TTTTCATTCCTTGTTGATGAATCTCGGTATGCATAAAACACACACACACACACACACACACACACACACACAGTTCAAAGCACCACTATACATCCTAGCAACCAATGACCTTACTTGACCTCTACACACACACTGACCACAACACCTGAGGCCTTGCAATCACGAGGAATTACCAAAAATAACCCCTTGTTTGGGTACCTGTTAGTATTTTCTCTTGGGTAATTTAAAAAGTGACGTCATTTGTTTATTTTGCGTGAGTGTGATTGAGGAAGACTGTTGTTATGTTGTCATATTTTTGTGTTGTGTGTGTGGGGGGTGTTCTTGCAGGTGAGATTAAGGTGTGTTTTTAGGTCACTGTTTATTATTGTTGTTTTTGTTGTTATTGATGTTGTTGTTGTTATTGATGTTGTTGTTGTTATTGTTGTTGCTGTTATTGTTGTTGCTGTTCTTTTCATTGTTGTTTTTGTTATTATTATTATTATTGTTATTACTCTGTTTTGCTACCCTGTCAGCAGTAGGTGTGGGGTGGTGTGGGTGAGAGTGTGGAGGACTGTGGGGATGGTGTGGGTGGCTGTGGTGTGGGTGGGTGAGGGTGACTGTGGGGTGGTGAGGGTGGCTGTGGGGTGGTGTGGGTGAGGGTGTGTAGGACTGTGGGATGGTGTGGGTGAGAGTGTGGAGGACTGTGTGGGGTGGTGTGGGTGTGGGTGTGAAGGACAGCTCTGTGGCACAATTGGTGGGTGGCGACCACGAATAAATTTACCGATTCAGATGGCTAGTTGTGTGACCAATCAGGAGAGTTCACCTGCACACCATCACGGCAACCACACACTCTGATTGGTCCAGTACCAGCATGGCAACCGAGCTCTCTCATTGGTGGTTTATTTTTGCCCTCTGAGATGAAGGATTATTTTGGCTCTATAAATAATAATAATAATAATAATAATAATAATAATAATAATAATAATAATAATAACTTACATTTAGTACAAGTAAACTCCCATTAAATTTATTCAACCTTGATTTAATTTCTAACCTATAAACGTTTAGTTAATTCAGTTTTCATCCTCTCTCAAACTTACTGATGGATGTCTTTCGTATGTGAGTTAGATTAGGTTAGATTAGATTAGGTTAGGTTAGGTTAGGTTAGGTTAGGTTAGGTTCCATACCTGACTGACCGTGACTCCTACCTGTGACATTTTAGGATTTATCAACATTACTAACACACACCTGGATACAGTCACCCCATTATTTATCTCCCGGTCATAGTAAAGGGATATAGCCATCGGTTTGTGTGTCTGTGTAGTGATCGTAAATTTTCTGTCTCTGTCTGTCTGTATTTCTGTCTCTCTGTCTGTCTGTCTGTCTGTCTGTCTGTCTGTCTGTAATGGTGTGTCTGCATGGGTGATGTGAAGAATAAGATATGGGTGAATGGAGTTAACGGTGTCGTGGTGATGGTGGTGATGGTGATAGGGGGTGGTGGTGATGGTGATAGGGGGTGGTGGTGATGGTGATAGAGAGTGTGAGGTGTGGTGAAGGTGTGGTTATTGGTGTGGCCATTGTCATCATGTGGTTTGATGTTAGGTGTGTGTGTGGCCAGAGCACATAACCATTCCCCTGAGAGAGAGAGAGAGAGAGAGAGAGAGAGAGAGAGAGAGAGAGAGAGAGAGAGAGAGAGAGAGCCATCATCGTCTCAATTGTCCTCCCCCTGGTTCCACTATCCGGCTCTCCACCCATATCTGGTTCACCCAACGTCCGGTTCGTCCGCCTGTCATGATATCACGTAACCGGTTCTCACAGCTACCGGTTCACCTATTATCGTTACCGGCTCATTCACTTCATGGTTCGGAATAAAAACTAATTCATCCATCAATATTAGCAATTCATCCACCATACTCACAAAACAATAAACTTTAGTTGCTCAGTTGTCTACAAAGCTCGCCAGAATGAGACTCTCGTTTGACTCTACTACATAAATATTACCCAGGCATCATCATAAACACACAAGACACGGACCTTGATTTGACGGTACAAAATAACGGGACCATTGTAACTGTAACCTAAAGGCATGTGTGGATGCTCATTTAACCGTAGAATCCGGAAATAAAATACTAGTACTTTTATTAATTACACAATGAGAATATTTCAATTAATGATTTACTGAATTTTTTAATAATAATAATAATAATAATAATAAAATACAGTGATAATAATAGCAGTACCATAAACTCTCATTTGACTGCTCGTGTGGTTATGCGTCATGACCTGCGGAGGGATGCTCGCTTGACAGACAGATGCTGGCAGCCAATCAGAGTGGAAGAGACTAATTACGTAAGGCCCAATTACCCAGATTTTATTGCTGCATTAATAAACCTTGTGTCTATAGGTCATTACTGTTATTGTCACCGAGTTTAAGGAGGTGAGTTGTAACTTGTAATAATATTAATAATAATAATAATAAGAAGAAGAACAACAAGATATCGTATTAGTTAACGTTGAGGGGTTGAGAGAGGGAAGGTAGAGAGGGGGGGGTTGAAGGGAGGGAGGAGGAAGGGCAAGGAGGTCGTGTTGATATGCTTGGGTAGTGGTTTGAATTGTGAAGGAGGAAGAGAGGAGGAAGGACGAGAGAGAGTAAGACGAAGTAGCAAAAGAAGAATTGAAAAACTAAAAAGAAAAGAAATAGGAAAAAGAGAACAATGTATCAAGATGAGAGAGAGAGAGAGGAGAGGTGGGGGACTTTGAAGAAATTGGGACATACCGTATTAAGAAAAATAAATAAAAACTAAATAAAAAATCACAAAAAAATGGGAAACTTCAACAAAAACTACGTAAATTATGAAAAAAAGAAGAAAAAATTACGGAAAAACTCCAAGTATCAAGTAACAACACGAAAGAAACCGGAGGTAGAGAAATATATACATTTCTATAATTGTTTCCACCGGATGGCAAATAATAGCGAATCTCACCGCACCTCAAAGACGGCTATTAGAACTAGGGGGGAGGGGGGGCCGTAGCTGCTAGCCTTGACTGACGCCGTCCCTCTCTCTCACATACTCACTAGTACTTCAGAAAGTTTGGCTTGGTTAGGTTAGGTTAAGTTTCGTTGTGGTTAGTTAGCTTAGGTTAGATTAGGTCGAGTTTTGTGTTGAAGTTGGTTAGGTTAGGGTTAGGTTAGTTTTGGTTAGAATAAATTTCGTTGGGGTTAAGTTTGGTTAGGTTAGGGAACAGCAGAATGAAATATCCTACACACACACACACACACACACACGTCCTACTAAAACAATAATGAAAGTCCTTGTTGCTCTCTGGGACACAACGACTGCCCAACCTGACATCCTAAGAGGGGAGACCTATACACAGGGACACAGGGACTTACAGGGACACACGCAGGGGCTTCAGGGGCCTCTCTATCCTGTAGCGGCCACGGAAACGGTGTAAATAAACCATGACGGTGGAGGTAGCGACCACCATTCACAAAACCCTCAGCTGTGTCACCACCCTCCTCTACCTTTCACCTTCTGCTGCTGTTGCTCCTGCTGCTTCTGTTCCTCCTGCTGCTTCTGCTTTTGTTCGTCCTCTTCTCTTTTTCTTTTCGTTTTTTCCTTCTCCTCTCTATTTTCCTCCTCCTCCTGCTCCTTCTCCTCTCTAATCCCCTCTTCTTACTCCTCTTTAGTCCTCCTCTTCCTATTCCTCCTCTCTAGTCCTCCTCCTCCACCTCTCTAATCCCCTCTTCTTACTCCTCCTCTCTAGTACTCTTCCTCCACCTCCCTAGTCTTCCTTCTCCTCCTCATCCACCCTTCTAACCTTCCTTATCCACCTCTTTCCTTGTCTAGTCCACACCAAGCGCCCTTCACGGTATTCATTAACGGTACAAGAAACATCGACTTGGACAAATATAACTTCGACTTCTGAAACGTAAGGTTGAGGAATATTAATACTAGCTTCTCTTCCTCCCATATTAAGATTAGAATAATATCTCAGTCTTTAAGTAGTATTTTGAGGGATATTTAGAGCAATATTTCTCATCTTCTTCTCCCTCTTACGGGATTAATTGTAGCAAGACTGATAAAAACATAATTTTTTTTCTCCAACTCTCACCGTTACAACTCCCTCAACAACGACCTTGTATACACATGGGAACAAGTTATCACACTACTCCCATCACTAATAACATAACAAGTGTGAAATTTAGTGCATATGCTATTGTTCCCACCACCGAATGTTAATGGTTTTAGCTCAAGAGAGAAAAATATACCTGTTTAAAGAGGAGAATTGTATACACTTGAGACCCATTTACCTGTGATATTTGGTTCTTGTTAGTTTGAATTTACCTTTTAATTCAATGTTTTAAGAGTGTTTTTGTGTTCTTCCTGTACCCTGGGCAATGTGTATAGTGAAGATAACGATAGTACTTTAAAAATAGATTACGATATTTCTGAGTATGACGAACGATCCTTATTTCTTTAACTTATCGTACTCGGGTATCGTAAGAATTCACAACGCTGGAACTTGTTTTTATACTGAGTTGTGTTTATCTTGTGATCTTGTGTGGTTAGGTTAGGTTATCTTATCATTCACATCGTCTCCAGTGAATGAGTAGAATGATGAATGTAGTCTGAGAACGAGTTACTGAAACGAGTAAATGTGAGGGAAGCATCCAGAACGAGTTACTGAAACGAGTAGATGTGAGAGAAGCATCCAGAACGAGTAACAGGGATGAGTAGATGTGAGAGAAGCATCCAAAACGAGTTACTGGGACGAGTAGATGTGAGGGAAGCATCCAGAACGAGTTACTGGGACGAGTAGATGTGAGGGAAGCATCCAGAACGAGTTACCGAAACGAGCAGATGTGAGAGAAGCATCCAGAACGAGTTACTGGGACGAGTAGATGTGAGGGAAGCATCCAGAACGAGTAACAGGGACGAGTAGATGTGAGGGAAGCATCCAAAACGAGTACTGGGACGAGTAGATGTGAGAAAGTATCAAGCTATTGTTTATCCAAGTCAGTGTGTCGGTAGCAGTGATAGTGTAGTGGCGTGGCTTGTAGATACGAGGAATGTAGGGACTTCAGGACAAATGGTTAAGGGTGGAGAGGCCTGAGGAATGTAGGCGTGTGGGCGTGGTAGATCTGTGGGGGCGTGGTAGATCTGTGGGGGCGTGGCAGATCTGTGGGGGCGTGGTAGATCTGTGGGGGCGTGGCAGGTCTGTGGGGCGTGGCAGATCTGTGGGGGCGTGGCAGATCTGTGGGGGCGTGGCAGGTCTGTGGGAGCGTGGCAATCTGTGGGGGCGTGGTAGATCTGTGGGGGCGGGCAGATCTGTGGGGGGCGTGGCAGATCTGTGGGGGCGTGGTAGATCTGTGGGGCGTGGCAGGTCTGTGGGGCGTGGCAAATCTGTGGGGGCGTGGTAGATCTGTGGGGGCGTGGCAGGTCTGTGGGGGCGTGGTAGATCTGTGGGGCGTGGCAGGTCTGTGGGGGCATGGTAGATCTGTGGGGGCGTGGCAGGTGTGTGATTAGGAGTTATGTGCACACTGGCAGGTATGTGTATTTGAATGACCACAGGTAAACCATCCCACCTCCGCCTACCACCCACCACCACCACCGCCCACAGCCGCCCACCTCAGCCGGCCTACATTTCATCCATCACACTCATCCCGTCACACCGCACCTCATGACGCCCTTGGAGGAGAGTGAGGGGGGCGGGGGCGGGGGAGGGTATTGTGACGGAGGCAATGAAGGTTAAGGAGTGTTACACCAACAGCCATGAATCGTCACACACACACAGTCATTTATGTCCAATGTATATTTTCAGCCTTCGGGCTGCAGAACTTTTTCAATAAACCGTTAATTATTATTATTATTATTATTATTATTATTATTACACACACACACACACACACACACACAGACTTGTAGATCGAGTACCTAACTATACAAGATCCTCAGTATACTATATCCGCATTGCCTCTAACTCAAAGGTCAACAGCCTATGGAATCGACCTTCAGCTCCCTCCTTCGTATACTGGGTTTAAGTGGAGGGGGAGGGGGGCACATAAAACTCAAGCACCGAGGTTTGTGTGTCGGGTTAACCTAATCAATCGTGTGAACTCGGAAATGCCAAGATATTAAGCAGACGATTCGCCATTATCTCTTTCGTTTACTTACGCTGCCTGAGGTACAATAAGTCAAAGAAAAAGGTCTGTACCGTCGACCTCACAGAATCACGTTTGGTATTACTATTTTTTTTACGGGATATATTTTATTTTTTTTTTATGTTTGGTTTTATTATTGTGTTTTATTGACTTACGTGGAATATTTTATCTTAAGGATTTTTTAGAATTTTTATTGTCGTAAGGTTCATTGAGTCAGTTTGATACGTTCTCACATCACCAGTTACGAGGGAAAGAACCATATTTACCTTACGAGGGCAGGGGGGGGGGGGTGATGAAGGAGTAGGTGAGTGGAGACTGAACGCCGTGACTGGGAACTAACAGGCGTCCGAATCCAGTTAGTTTATTCATTTAGACGGTGATGTTAGCGTATTTTTTCGTCACACCCGAGTGATTCTCTCTCTCTCTCTCTCTTAAGCTGGATATAGTAGAGCCGTCGTCATCATCATCACTACGACCACCACCACCACCACTACCACCATCATCATCATCTCCATCACCACCACTACCACCACCATTACCACCACTACTACTACTACTACTACTACCACCATCGCGACCACCACCACCACCATCATCATCATCTTCCCATCACCACCACTACCACCACCATTACCACCACTACTACTACTACTACTACTACCACCATCGCGACCACCACCACCACCATCATCATCATCTTCCCATCATACAGTGACCAGGGTAGTTGCGGGTGACGTAGAGAGTGGTTTGATAAATGATACTCCCAGGGGTGACTGTCTCTTCCACACCCTCCACCCCCACCCACATACTCCACCTCCCACCCTCACCTCTACCTCCACCCCCACACTCCACCTTCACCTTCACCCTCCAATTCTACCTCCACCCCACACCCACCCACACACCCACCCACCCTACCACCACCCTCCACCCCACCTCGACCCACACACACCCACCTCCACCCCCACACCCACCCACACACTCCACCTCCACCCCACTCCACCTCCACACCCACCTCCCACCTCCACTGCCACCTCCCACCTCCACCCCTACCTCCACCCACCCCACCTCCACCTCCACCCCTGCACCTCCACCTCTCCACCCCCACCCTCACCTCCACCCCTCCACCTCACCTCCACCTTCACCTCACCTCCATCTCCACCTTCCACCCCACCCTGCTGCCCTCACCCAGCTAACTCATGTATCATAAGCTAAAACTGGTAACAGGTGAGAGCTAAGTGGGATAAATTAGCTGACAGTGGTACAAATAGCAGATAGGACAGTTGTAAAAAGCTAACGTTACTAACAGAATCAACAGGTGTTAAACGGTCCAACAGTATGGAAGCTAAAACAACGGGTAATCTGTAGATTCTCTGATAAGTTAACGTTATTAGATTTGGAAAGCTAACAAGGCTTAAGTTCGAGGCAGCCTAACATACTTAATTGGGTCAGCTAACATTCTTTACCACAGTTATCATCATCATCACTACGGTGTGTTGGTAGTTAACTCCGCTGACATCACGACCCATCCATGGTAGGTTACTCAGCCACTTCCCCCTAACCTAACACAGTTCACAGCACCAATAACACCACAACTTCCTTTAACACAGTTCACAGCACGACCTCGAGTGGCTGCCATCACAACAACAACAACAACAACAACAACAACGACAATAATAATAATAATAATAATGATAATAATAATAATAATAATAATAATAATAATAATAATAATAATAATAGTAATACATTTTTAGATAGTCGTCAGTCCCCAGCCTATCTTACCACTGGGGTCTATTAGGACTGGGGTCTATTATAACTGGGGTCTATTAGGATTGGGGTCTATTAGGACTGGGGTCTATTAGAACTGGGGTCTATTAGAACTGGGGTCTATTAGAACTGGGGTCTATTAGGACTGGGGTCTATTAGAACTGGGGTCTATTAGAACTGGGGTATTATAACTGGGGTCTATTATAACTGGGGTCTATTACAACTGGGGTCTATTATGACTGGGGTCTATTATAAAATGGGGTCTATTAGGACTGGGGTTTATTATAACTGGGGTCTATTAGAACTGGGGTCTATTATAATCAGTCTATTATAGCTGGGGTCTGTATTACTGGGGTTTATTATAACTGGGGTCTATATAACTGGGGTCTATTACAACTGGCTATTACAACTGGGGTCTCATACTGTGGGTCTATTATAAATGGGGTCTATTAGGACTGGGGTTTATTATAACTGGGGCCATTAGAACTGGGGTCTATTATAACTGGGGTCTATTAGGGCTGGGGCCTATTATTACTGGGGTCTATTAGACTGGGGTCTATTATAACTGGGGTCTGGGGTCTATTATAACTGGGGTCTATTAGGACTGGGGTCTATTATAACTGTGTTCATTATAATGGGTCTATTAGACTGGGATCTATTATAACTGGGGTCTATTATAACTGGGGTCTATTATAACTGGGGTCTATTATAACTGGTGTATATTAGAACTGGGGTCCATTATAACTGGGGTCTATTAGGACTGGGATCTATTATAACTGGGGTCTATTAGACTGGGTCTATTATAACTGGGGTCTGTTATAACTGGGGTCTATTATAACTGGGTATATTAGAACTGGGGTCTATTAGGACTGGGGTCTATTATAACTGGGGTCTATTAGAACTGGGGTCTATTAGACTGGGGTCTATTAGGACTGGGATCTATTATAACTGGGGTCTATTAGGACTGGGGCTATTATAACTGGGGTCTATTATAACTGGGGTCTATTAGAACTGGGGTCTATTATAACTGGGGTCTATTAGGACTGGGATCTATTATAACTGGGGTCTATTAGAATTAGGGTCTACTTTACCTATGTGGGTTTCGATACCACTTGACCGAGGTTTTAGGCGACCAAATCCCCAAAATCTTTACCCAAACCGATCACCTGAGGCTCGTGACTCTAACAGTTCGATAACCTGGTAAAGAAAGTCCTCTCCTCACTCTACACCCCGTGACTCCTTCCACCATCTAACTGGTTGACTCAAAGCACAAAAAAACAACTTAAAATCATTAGAAAGTACTAGATTCGTTCACTTAGCACTAGTGGGTGATAAAAGTGAACGTTCGGTGTTATTGGTGTTAAATGAACGTAACTTAGTTCAGGTAGAATCTCTGTTAATTTTGTGTTATTGGCCGTATTTTTGTGTTTTCTCTATGAATCTTATCTACGAATCTTCACTCACCTTGGCGCCACCGTCGTAAACATGTTAGCCCCCGGGTCCCTGTGAACTCATTCATTTCTTGGCGCCCACTATGTGAAACGCCATTGAGGCTTGTTGCGGGCGGATGCTTCAAGAAGTCGGCCAGTGGGGTGTGGTGGTGCTGTGGCAGGGGATGACTGAGGACGTGGTATGGGGTGGCTTTAGCTGTGACACGGGGGGGAGGGTGGATGTAGCTGTAAAATTAAACTGGGTTTAGCTGTGGCAGGGTGTGGCTATAGCTGCTACCCTTATTTACAGAAATTGGCGCTAAAATTGCTCGGTAGAATCTATTACTGGTCGTGCATACATTCAACACAGACACGCATAGTGCCTCACTTTTCACACACACACACACACACACACACACACACACACATGCATCGTCTATCCACCCACCCCCATCACACACACACACAGCATATCAACAGAAGGAGACAGGTGATTACATAATTTACCTGTAAGGACCTTGATACCTTACCTGGTGGAGAAGGTGATGACCCCTCCTGTGTTTACGTTTCTTTGTCGTGTTGTTATAACTCGAGCAGCTGTCTGAAGTGAGCGTATTGGGGCTGTTGTCTGTGGCGTAAAGAGGGTGTCCTGAAGTGGGAGGTTGTCTGTGGGCGTAAAGAGGGTGTCCTGTGGGCGTTGGGAGGTTGTTTATGTGAGGTTGAGTTTGTGTGTGTTTCTGTGTCCGTTGTCTGTGTGGGGGGTGGGGGTTAAGGGTTGATTACGTGTCTGTGAACCGTGTCTGTAGTTGCATTGAAGCTTTCTAACTAACAGGGCGGTGTGTGTGTGTGTGTGTGTGTGTGTGTGTGTGTGGGTGTGTGTGTGTGTGTGTGTGTGTGTGTGTGTGTGTGTGTGTGTGTGTGTGTGTGTGTGTGTGTGTGTGTGTGTGTGTGTGTGTGTGTGTGTGTGTGTGTACTGACTGAAGTCTGTACACATCCACGAAAAAACCACAGGAAGAGAGGGAGGAGGAGGAGGAGGAGGAGGATGGGGGAGGAGACGAAGATGAGGAAGGAAGAGGAGAGAAAGAGGGAAGTAAGAGAGTGAGGATGAAGAGCAAGAGGAGAACTGTAAAGAAATTAATAATGTGGAGGAGATAAAAGGAAGAAGAAGAAGAGAGAGAGAGAGAGAGAG